CTTTATCCTCGTCGTCTCGGATTCTCCCTGGGGGACCGTTCGGAACGGCGTTGATCAGAGCCTTGTACTTCGCCAAGTTGGCCGTGCCCCTGGCACCGCAAAGCTCCTGGGACGGGGGGGGGCGAATGGGAGGAGGAGGCAGGGGGAAGAGGAAGAGGAGGAGGAAGAGGTCCTCTCGGTATACGATGAAGGCGCTGTCCGTCATCACTGGCGCGATGCGTGCACTGAGCTCATGACCATCGCTCTGGAACTTGCCACGTTTGGGGGCCATTTCAGGAACTCTCCGTTCCTTGGAGGCTCTCTTGAGCCAAGGCCTCCCGGGGAGGCATCCCGGGGAGGCTGAGGGGCGGGGCGCAGACGGAGAGAGCAGGGGAGGAGAGGAGGGGGCACGTGAGGAAGGGGCAGGGGGGTGGGAGGGGAAGGAGGAGGGAGCTTGAAATTTGCAACAGTCTCAGGGATGGGGGGCGGTTCCTGTTCAAAATGGGGTTCTCGCCTGAGACTTCCTTGCAATTTATGATCCTGAAGCTTGAAATTTGCAGCAGTTTCAGGGGTGGAGGTCGGCTCCTTGTCAAAATGGGGCTCTCGCCTGAAACTTCCTTGCCATGTATGACCCTGAAGTTTGAAATTAACAACAGTTACAGGGATGGAGGGCGGTTCCTTTTCAAAATGGGGTTCTCGCTGATTTCGGGTGTCAGGGAGGCCAGCCGAAGCCGTTTTGGCTCAAAACAATGATACGTTACATCAACATCATGTTGAACACATATCTACGCGCAGGATCTATTTTTATGCTGCTTTATCATCTGGGATCTATTTTATCATCTAGGATCTATTTTATCATCTAGGATCTATTTTGTCACCTGGGATCTATTTTATATGTTTTTTTTCATCAGGATCTATTTTATCATGTTGGATCTATTTTCAAAGCTCTTTGCGGCCAGGATCTAAAAAACAGATCCTGCGGACCACAGGGCCTGAGCCTGCGCATCCGGCAGTGGCTGTACACGCTCGTCGGGTTGGATCCCTCCTTGACTGCCCAGGGGGGGTGTGGACAAGTGTCCTGGCTCTCGAAGTGCATCTCCACCGCGGCCGGCCACATGGTCGAGATCCCGTTGATGCCCACAACCCCCGAGGCGATGTGCAAGAGCCTGAGAGCGAACCTCCTCCACGCGAGCATCGGCTTGACCAGGGCCGGCACGCCGTCCCAGAAGTTCTGCTTGAGGGGGGTCGACATCTCTTCCTCCGTGAAGTCCAGGTCCTGCAGCTCCTCCGGAATCTCCCCCCAGTCCTCCAGCTCCTCGTCCTCCATCACGCACCTGAGCGCCGCTGCCGAGCGCCTCCTCCGGAGCGGCTGCCCCATCTTGGCCATCGGGCTGCCGAACTTGCCCTTCACCATCGCGCAGACACGTACTGCTGGCCGTCTGAGGTTTCTGAGCCGAAACAGCTACGGAGTTCGATCCTGAGTTCTTGGTCGCTGCTCCCGGGACCCGACACCCCCCAACACCGAGGAAGGAGAGGAGAGAAGAGGGATCTGAAATCGCGCAACTAGATGCCCACCCTCCCCTCGGGTCCTCGCGCACGTCGGCCGGCAAGCGAGACAGCACGTCGTCCGGCACGCTGAAGTCCTCGGGCTCGCAGTGGATCAGGCTGATGGACCTGCGCCCGGCCAGGTGCCGCACGAGGGTGTGTCGCACCTTGTCGCGATCGCCGAGCTCGATCTCATCACTACCTAAGTCGATCACCGCGTGCATCGCCTCCAAGAGCCGCTGGCAGAAGAGGTGGGCACCGGCCCGGAAGCACCAGGAACTCCACGATCCCGCACTTCCAGATGCTGACGGGGACCCATGCCCTCGCTACGGGGTTGACCTTGCCGCCGACTCCGCCGCACGTGACTCCTGCCACTGGGCCCTCCTTCACCGGGATCAGGAATCCACGTCTCTCGAACGCGGTCTTCATCACCTCCAGGTCCTCGCGTCCAATAGGCGCCTGACCCGCTGCAGTGTCCACCAAGGCGTGATCACCCAACTGCCGAAGCGAAAGCTCAGGCCCTGCCACGTGCAGCGTCTTGAGCAGCTGGTTCCAGTCGTCCACCTGGATGTAGCTGTCCGCGTCCGGCAGCACGTCGAAAAAGAAGCTCTTGCCCGCGCCGCCCTTCTTGCCCTTCTCGCTGGCGATCCTATCCGCCTTGGATCTGAACGGACTCTTGCACGACTCCGCCCAGTGGCCACGCTCGCCGCAGTTCGCGCACCTGGTGCGCTTCTTCACGTCGGTCATCATGAGCCTCTTGAATCCCGGGCGAGCAGCTCTCTTCCTGTCGAAGAAGTCGCGGTCCACTTTCTTGGCAGCCTTGAGCCGCCCGGCCTCAGCCCAGGTGCGCCTCTTCTCCTTGCCCAGTCGATCCTCGACCACCGCCGCGAACATCTGCAACACCTCGGTCTCGCCAAGGTCCTGGTCGTCGAGCGAGGCGAGGAAAATGTCCACATCCTCCTCTGGCAGCTCGACGGAGTCGTCGATCTCGGTCAAGAAAGCCTCGTCCTGGTACGGCTCTGGCGGCGGGGGAACCTCCTCTGAGACCTCGGCTGCAAACGCCTTCGTCACGAGCGTGTGCGTCGTCGGCAGGATCGGCTGATCTTTGACGTCCAACTTCAAAATTGCGGCACGTATCGAACTGAAGTCGTCCCTGCCTCCTGCCAACGTGCGCATGTTGATCTTGTTCTGCGCTGAAAGACAAGCGCCCTCCTCGAGATACCTCGATTTGATCGGATCCGGCAAGGCCAAAACGTATCGTTCCTCTTCTGCAACCTCTGCGTCGCGTCTCAAAACGAACTCCGTGATCGACTCTCCTTTCTTGATCATGTAATTGAACAGCGCTGCGTTATGTGCCAACCTCTCGCGATCTCCAGGCCGCCCGCCGTTCAATAGTGACAAGTGCTTCAAAAATCGGTCGATGCCGTCCTGCGAGTCGAGATCGGCCCGGATCGTTCGAAACTTAAGCTGTAGTTCGACTGGAAGACCTTCAAGAATACGTCCTGCCTGAGTCTCTGGTCTAAAGCCGGTGCGCCGAGTCCATGCTAATACGTTATGCCTGTACGTTTCGAGGTTCTCGAAGTTCAACCAAGGAGGGGGAACGCCAAAATCTCTGTTCGGAGCCGTGTGGGGATTCGTCCAGGCCGCCGACGAAGATCCCCAGCCATCATCTCTCCAGGCGTCATACTCGCTGGCCTGCCACCACCACTTCCACTCCCAAGAGCTTCTCCAGCCGCTCCACGGATCAGCCCCCTGACTCGCAGAACTTGATGACTGCTGAGCATCTGCCTGGGTCGAGGGGTCATCTTGACCTCGACGAACTCTCTCTGGTGTGGGTAGTGACTGCCACGCGTCTGCTAGTGGCTCCTGATGTTCCTGCACTCCCTTCTGCTGCTCGTGTTCCTGCACTCCCTTCTGCTGCTCCTGATCGCCCGCGCCTGGAACGCCCATGGTCTCCGCGAGCCTCTCCGACATCGCTCCGCTTACCACTGTCACTGAGGGGATGGACACATGGATCTGCGAGTCGCAAAAGGACAAGCTGAGACGGGGCTTTTCTCCGAGCCGCGACCTCACGGGCACACGGTTGAAAGCGCCTAAGCCAAAGTGGCTACACCACGGGGGCGGGGAGAGATCCAAAGGGACCAAGAGGGGGAGAACACACCACGGGCCCTCAAGGGCCTTGGGAAGACATAGGGGATTAATCTCCAATGTGGCCTTACCTCCCAAAACTTGGCGGGCGGGGGGTGGCAACTATTTCTGTTGAGCCCCGTCGGGACCCCGCTGCAAAGCTCAGATATCTTCGGGGACGTATCACCAGGACTCAACATTGCAAATTGAGTAAGAGCGCATTCTCGGGGCCGCTGAAATTAATAAACAGGGGGTGAACGGTTGCAAACGAAACGCCAAGCTAAGCAAGAAAGCGAAAAACCGACGATGCCGCAAACCTTGGCGCTGAACGGCGTAAGCAAAGCAAAACCAAGGGAAACGCGCACGCAACGCGCGACGTAAACGCGCGAACCAAACGAGCCTGGAACAGGCAGCAAGGCACCCCTGGCAACTCCTCTGCACGAGCAGTTCGCGATATACAACGCGCGCCAGCAAAACCGTGCCGATGTCCCAAAGGCAACGAAAATGAAAGCGCAGAACTACATCAGAGGCCGACTGGGTCACTTTGAAAAAAATCCGCCGCCCTAGCGAAAGTTGGAAATCAACGCTGGCTTCGCAACGAAAGCCATTTATTTTTTTATGAGATCGCTACGACGAAGCGCGAAAGCGAAATTTAAAAATCGACGAACGTTTAAACAGCGTTTTGAAAAGTCATCGGGGAAAAATGGCGCGAGCGATTTTATAGCGTTTGGAATTTTCAGCGCTGCAGGGGACAGCCCCGACACAAGGTTAGGGTCCAAAAACACGAGGGGATGTGCCACATGTCTGCAAAATTGGTGGCACCCCTCACGCAGATCGGCGCGGTCAGGGTCCAAAAACACAAGGGACTTGCCACATTGCTAAAATTCGGCGGCACCCCTCGCACAGATCGGCAGGGCCAGGGTCCAAAAACACAAAGGATGTGCAACATGTCTGAAATTCGGCGGCACCCCTCACGCAGATCCGTAGGGTCAGGGTCCAAAAACACATGGGATTAGCAGAGAGAACCATGAGTGGAGTGATCACGTTGTGCCTCCTTCATGCATGGCATTCGGATCCTCCAAGCTTCCTTATCAAACTGTTCAGTGCTGCTCCGATAGCTGTTTCTAAGTATGATGGAGGCTATGGAATCGGAGGCCGCGGGGGATGATACACCTACGCCACACAATTCGGAAGGCGGGGTGGGAGGACACGGGGGAGGAGCATGAGGGCCACATGGACTATCATCACAAGGGCGAGCTATCAATCAAACAAATCGCGAACAGACACAGGACCGCATGGACGGGCCGATCGGACCTCGGAGTGCGGGCCCTGCAGGGTGGTGGTGTGGCCTTCTTCATCCTGCTCAAGCACAACTGTAGGGATTCGTACTCGATCTTGTTGTCAAGGTCCTGAGCACCACCCGACTCCCGCTTCTGGCCTCTCCGCCTTCTCTTTCTCCTGCTGCCTTTCTTCTCCAACTAGCCCCCTTCCTTCCATCCCGTCGTCGTCCTCCGCCTCCGCCTTCTCCTCCGCTTGTCCAACAGGATGCTCGCGCGCCAATGCACCCCGCAAAATACTGAAGTCCACCGCTTCTAGAGTCAGGTCAGGGGTCAGTGGGGCATCGGGTATAAAGGGGAGTGGTGATAGAGGTGGAGGGAATGGCGAAGGTAAGGATTGAGGCGGCGGGGGACAAAAATGACGTTGGGGGAAATAGGAGTTGAAAAAACGGAGCAGATATAACGAAAGTAGACCATCATCACTATATGGCGAATGTTGTAGGGAAATGCATGCAATGCTCTGGCAGCAATGCCGGAGCGCATCGCGCTCCCCCAGTGGCGTTGCGTGGCGCGGTGTGCGCTCGCCCCCCCCCCGCAAGGGACATGGACCATAGTTAGGGCTCCCTCCACCGAGGGACAAGAAAGCATACAGTCAACCAGTATGATAAGGACGCGCGGTGAGGATGCAAGGGCCTTGGAAGGCCATGTCGACACCTTGCGAGCGGGGCGCGGCCAGCGAAAGCGACCAAGGATGGGCCGAAGGGGAAGGATGCGAGGGTAACCTTGGAAAGTTGCTCATCCTTATCATGCGGGCCGATGATTGACAATCAAAGGACCCCAAACCATTTGGGAGGCGACCTAAGTTACGATGCAAAAAAGGTTAGGGATAGGGGGTCTCTCCTGCAGATGTATCCAACCGAACCGCCCAAAACTATTATCCCTGATGCAAAGACGGGGGCCTCAGTGAGGCCACGTCTTCACTATGGTGTTAGGGCTAGGGGGTATTCTATCCTCGATGAGTTGGCTGTACTCAGTGCCCCGCCACGAAGACTTGTGTCACCAGGCTCCGAGAGGGGGGAGACCAGTTCCTGCGGAGGCCAGAGGCCGGGCGCGAGGGCTGGCGGGAAGGCAGGGGGAAAAAGGTGGGGGCCACCTCCCCCGTCCAACACACGCTGGCACAGATTGCCCGCCAGTTGGAAGCAGCGGGTAGGTGCAAGACATGGGAAGGCGGTGAAAATAGCTTGGGTTTCCGCCTGCCCCCATGAAGAGGAAGGAAGAGGGGAAACCACTCGAACATTGAAGTAGATGGGGATCTGGAAATACAGAAACACCTGCTTACACCGAGCTGCGTGTACGGATGGACATGTGGATCTGGCGTGTGGGCGCCAAGCTCACGGATCGGAGCAATTACCACTCAGAACATGAAACCGGTGCCGCCCGACCTGGCGACAGAGCTGACAGAGCCCATCGATGTGGTATGGGGGCGGGACCCGCCACTGACCCACGCGTGCTAATCCATATCTGCGTTTGCTCGACCATGGCAGGAGAGGTCTCTACGAAGAGGGGAGATTGACGACGCGCCGCTCATACACTCCCGCGCACCAGAAGTCCCATCAGCCCTTTGGGCGACAGGTGCTCTAAGCAGGATCTTTTTCCTCTTCCACAACCCCTGTTCCCTACGGGGAGGGGAGCCCTCCCCCTCCCCTCCCTGAGGTTTTTGGGGAGGGGTCGCGAAGTGTCAGAGATTTGTTGTTCGGCTTCTGGGAAGGCCAATATTTTGACACCCCGCACGAGGATCGCGGCCCCCGAGTGGGGGAGGGAAATCGACGACCCCCCCTCTTTTGACGGACCGTCTCCAAGATGGCCCCAAGAGGCGCTCCAGGGTTCCCAAGAGGCCCCCAAGAGGGCTCCAAGAGCGCCCCAACAGGCCCCAAGAGGGCTCCAAGAGGCACCCGAGAGGCAACCGAGAGGCCCCCGAGCGGCCACAGAGAGCCCAAAATGACCTCAGATAGGAGCCAGAGAAAGCACACAAAATAATTTCACACAAAGGGTTCTGGCACCACCAACGCAAGCTCTACACACACGAATCGCGCGTGCTGTTGTGGGGGCGGCGAAAACGATCGTACACAAAGGAAATTCCTTTGTGTGCCCCCCGCGTTGGCAGTGTAACCAGACCGCACACAAAGGAATTACTCGATACTTCGTGGCACACAAAGGAATTACACCAACGCCCCTTGGGTTGCGCTCTTCGCGCGCGGTGACAGCGCCGAGCTGAAAAGGAAGGGGGCGGGACAAGGCAAAGCAGGGGAAGAGGAAAAAGAAGAGGAGGACGAAAAATACGCGAAGGAAGCAACGGACGGATGCCAGGATGCGCGCAGGCGAAGCTAACACTGCGCGCCGAGACAGTTGTTCGCTCGTTCGGTTGGCCGTGCGGCAGACGATTAAAACAAGAAATGTTTGCTGCCAGTCGAAGGGATTTCTTGGGAATGAGACTCTCGTTTTCTTCCCAACCCCCCTTCCCACGCCCCGTTGCGAGCGCGCGACGATTTGTTCTGGCCCGCGGGCACAAAACTGCCAGTTTCTGGTGAGCGGCTTTTCCACCCGTCACGCGTTCCGAACACATGCGACCAACTAAACGCACTTGCCACGCAAACCGCCAGCTCCAAACACCGACGCCACCCCGATCCCCGCATCCGTGCCAGGCACCCTCTCAACGACGCCCCCTTCCGGCATAAAACCAATAAAACCCTTTGTGTGTGTGTTTTTCCTGTTCTGATCAGATGGCTCAGATAGCCCAAGCTCCCAAGCTGGTCAAGATGGCTCCCAAGATGCTCCAAGCGGCCCCCAAACCGCTCCAAGCCACGGAGCCTCCCAAGCCTCCCAAGCTGATTGACTATGCGTGTCTCTTCCTCTCTTCTCCCATCAACTCTCATGGGCATCGGTTCTGCATGGGCTGGTGGGGATACTCTTTGGTACGCGGGCTCGCGCAGGTCGAAAGCTGGGCAGAGCTAAGGCGGGTCGCGCCGAAACAGCAGGGAAAACCAGTACGGAGCAATGCCCAGCTCAGATGCGGGCTCAGCGTCCAACAAGACGTCAGTAGGGCTGGTGGGGATGCACGACGCGTCAAAAACAGCGCCGTCCAGCCGCGGAACTCCAGGTTGGCCCGAGCGAGCAGGAGCTTGACAGGCGAGCCCTGAGAGCTTTCACCGCACCTCGCGTCGCCATTACGATTTCGCGAAGCTGCGTGCCTCGGAAACAGGGCGCTGCGATGTGGTAATCCCCTCCACGACGCCGAGCATGCGACGAGGCTTGGCGCGTCTACGCTCGAACCAGAACGGCAGCGCGCGCCGCTGCCATCGCCGGCCTGCGCCTTATCCATTAGACCGAAGCCTTCGTAATGGCATGCTTCTGCTTCGCGTGCAGATGATGCGTCCGTCGCGAGTACTGCAAAGAAGCTGACTGCGACGCGCCAAGATGCAACACGCTGCCCAAGCGACGCGACGAAGTTCACTGCCACCGCCGTCGTTGGGGCAACGGCTGGTTGAAACCCCATCGAGGCTGCATGTCTTGCCAGTGGAGTGGAAGCCAATGCTGCCGCCGATGGGGGCTGGGTTTAGCGGCTCTGAACAAGGCGTGCGCGCAGAAGCACGTGCCGCGGAATTCGTCACTGCCCAGGTCGTCCGACCAGCTGCCCTCAGGGTCTGCTGCCTTGACCCAACCAACCAATACAGAAGTGAAGTGCCATGTGAAGCTGAGAAGGCACGCAACGGCGACGGGGCGTGTCGACAGCCGAGCCTTTGATGACCGAGTGCAAACCAGAGGAGTGGTCTGACAGTGAGACAAGCGATGCGCTGGTTCTGCAATCCGAGCAGCCGCAGGCCCCTTCGGTGGAAGTGTGCTGGAGCACAGCGGGCTCGCAACCATCGGCGAGGTCAACCCCCGCCGCAATGTGCGCGGAACTACGGCGCCAAGCCGCGAAAGTGCACTCGGAGATGGGGAGCAGGTCCTGGCACCTTCGGACCCGCCTGCACGGGTCAATCACAGAAACGACCCCTCGCAACACCGAGCGCGCCTGCCCGCCGCCCACAAGACAGGGACCCTGCGCCCGCGCAACCCCTGCGCCCTGCCGGCTCCAGCGCCGCCAGCACCAGCGCCACCATACAGCCGCTCCCTCCCGCCGCTTCCCCGTTCCCCTCTTCTTCTCCTGAGGGGCAACGACAGGGGGAGACCAGCCCAGGGGGGAACACTGAGCTGGAATCGGCGATACATAGCCGATAGATCAGCCATAAGCCCCTGATAGCAGAACCGGACGATCCTGGGCGGACTGGGCCATCGGCCTGGCAATCGGCGATCCGTGGGCGATCGGGGGTCGACGCATCCCCCCTCCCCCCCAACGCTGCCTCTGACCCCATCCCCCCCGACCCCGCCAGATCGGGCGCTGCCGCCCCCGTTGGGAGGCGTGTCTTCCACTGCCACCACCAGAAAGTACGAGGGGGAGGGGGTCCTCCTCCTCCTCCTCCTCCTCCTCCTCCTCCTCCTCCTCCTCTTCCTCCTCATCCTCCTTCCCCCCTCCAACTTATGGTGGTGGTGGTGGAAAACAGGCCCATCACCCATGGTCGGCCCGCGGCGTCCTCGTCCAGGACCGCGAACACCCTCTCCAGCTTCTTCGCCAGCATCTTGTCCACCTGCGGGCGGCGAGCGGCCCCGCCGGGCTTCCCTTCTCAGGGGTCGGGAGGACTCCACCCCAGGGTCTCGTGTACGTTGTGTGTTTCGTGCTCCTTCGTTCTGGCTTCGTTCTGCCTTTGCTGCGGCACGAGATCGAAACGAAAACAGCCCACGAAATCGCTGAAACACCGTTTGGCTCGAGCCCTGAACGCCCGAAGTGGCCGACAGCGAGTCCTGCTCAAAATGGACAGCAGCTGCCGTCGGTGGTCGTCCCCGTTCTAGCCGCACCCATGTCGGTCGTACCGAGCCTGGACGTCCTGTCCACCCCGGAGATGGCTCCCACTCCCCCGTCTCCCGTATCCAGCCAGACCGACGGACGGGCAGACAAGCCGGACAATGCACGGGGAATGGACGTCCGAGCGATGGCAGGATGATCTGCTCGCAGTGCTGCGGGAACCACTGTGGGCCCGCACCAAAGGTCTCTCCCGCGGAAGGTCACCTCTTTCGCACAGCCGACGCCGAAGCGCAACTCGTGGAAACCAGCCGGGGGGCCCAAACAGCTCCGAAGACCGGCTGCGAAACCCCGACAAGGCATGGGGAGGGCCGCCGTGTCCCGCCAAGCCTATCCCCTGTGTTTTCCCAAGTGTTGCCCCTGACGACTGACTCACAGGAGCAGGAGCGCCCAGAATCGAATCGATAAGTCGGATCAGCGATCGAAGCGAATCGGATCGGCAGAAATCGGCAGCCGAGTCAGGAGAAGTCGAATCGGCAGACATCGGCAGACTACTAGTGGGCCTCCAGTGAGGAATCTGGGTCGAAATCGGAATCCGAAGACGAATCAAATCGGAATCGGAAGCCATCGACATCGGATCGAATCAAATCGGAATAATCGAAATGAGCCCTGCAGGAGGACGGAGAAAACACGCAACGCTTTTGTACGAGAAAGGGTTTGGCGCCTCAGCCTCGCCTCAGCCTCGCGCGTAGCGTTGAGGCGTAGAAGGTCGAAGCGCGGAAAACTGGAAACGCGGGAGACAAACATGCGCTTTTTGGCGATCGCGGCACCGCGCGCAGTGACGAGTCGGTCAGAGAGCGAACGAAAAGCGAGTGCGGCCCGCCCCTCAAAAGATGGGGCAAAAACCCACAAAGATCGACCATTTCATGCGCATACCCGGGTATGGGCAGCGAGGGTTCGAATAGGGGATCTACTACAGAATTCATCTACTCCAAACTTGATGCCCCCGCCAAATATGCGAGAAACGCGAAGAAGGTTCGTAGATCCACGGGGTACGTATATTCCGTAGATTCGGCGGGAAAATCAATACTGGCGCAGGTAAATTCTGTGGTCGGTCTTCTGCTCGAACGGTGGAGGAACGGACAGAAAGGAGGGCGGGGTGAAAGTGCAGGCGGAGTGCAGCCGACCAGGCAGAGGCCAGAGGACACGTGACGAGGACGAGGTGGCGGGCACAGGCAGACACATCAGGACGACAGCCGCACACTGGGGAAGCAGCGCCAAGAGCATGCGGGCGGAAACACACACACACACACAAACACTCACTCACGCTTGCCGGGCGCACGCGGAAAGGGGCGCAAAGCCGCACGGCCGCAGCGGGCTAACGCCGCGCTAGAAAAACATGAAAATAGGGAAAAACGCAACGCACACACAAAACAACACACATACTCACACTTATATATGAACACATACATATATATACACATATATGTGTATATATATATATATATATATTAATCAGAGATTGAGGGGTGAGATCGCAGTGGAACGGAGACCCCCAACCAGGAAATCGTTTCGTTTCGTTCGTGTCGTGCGTGCGGGCGAGGCGGAGCTGCGTGGGCGCGCGAGAAGAATGAACCCGCCGTTGCTGAGGCGGGATCAAGACAAATGATTCTCCTCCGTCCGTCCGTCCGTGCGGCGGTGGCTCGCGGTGTCCCGCGGGGTCCCGCGGTGTCCCGTGGTGTCCCGTGGTGTCCGCCGTTGCTAGGGCGAAGTCAAAACAAATAGTCCGTCCGTCCAACGGTGGCTCGCGGTGTCCGGCGGTGTCCCGTGGTGTCCGCCGTTGCTAGGGCGAAGTCAACAAAAATGATTATCCCTCGTCCGTCCGTCCGTCTGGCGGAGGCGCGCGGTGGCTCGCGGTGTATGGCGGTGTCCCGTGGTGTCCGCCGTTGCTAGGGCGAAATCAAGACAAATGATTCTCCCCCGCCCGTCCGTCCGTCCGTCTGGCGGTGGCTCGCGGTGTCCCGCGGTGTCCTGTGGTGTCCGCCGTTGCTAGGGCGAAGTCAAGACAAATGATTCCCCCCCCCCCGTCCGTCCGGCGGTGGCTCGCGGTGTCCCATGGTGTCCCGTTGAGTGAGATCGATAGTGAGATCGAGGTGGTGACCCGAGGTGTCCCGTGGTGTCCCGTTGAGTGAGATCGATATTGAGATCGAGAGGTGTCCCGTGGTGTCCCGTGGTGTCCCATTGAGTGAGATCGATAGTGAGATCGATTGAATCAGATGTTGGTTCCCCCCCTTTCTGCCCCCCCACAACCTCCTTATCTCCCGAAGGGTGGTCGTATAGGTATACACATATGTATGTGTTACTCGTGGTCCGTAGTCTATCGATATGCAAATCAACACATGTATGGGATATACACATACATGAATCTGGCACATTGCATCGATGAGTGGAAGGATGCCAAGTGCTGCCTGGTAGGGTTTCTGTAATGTTAAGGGTCCCCCCCCTCTCGTTGCAGAGTGCTGCATGCACTGCGCCCCGACGCCTCCTTAGTGCTCTCCGAAGCGGTCAAGATGCTCCCCAGAACGGTCCAGGCAGGCCACCAAGGCTGCAAAGATGGCCCAACATGCGTTCATGACGGCCGAAGATGGCCCAAGACCGCCCAAGACGGCCTCAGGACTACCCGCGAGTCGTTCCAAACGGCCAAGGAGGCTCCAACAAAACCTCTAGCAAATCCCGACAAGAAACCCTAACCAATTGTGTTCCGTAAATGTTTGAAGGTTTCTCACATTCTCGCCGTTTCGGGCTTCAGCGGGCTCAAGATGGCCCAAGGGCTTCCAAGATGACCCCACGATGGCCCAATTGTGCCTCAAGATAGCCCAATGGACTGCCAAGACAATCTCCAGACTCAAGACGACCCAAGAGCGCCCCTGGACGGCCCAGGGCTGACCCGAGAGGGCCTCGAGACGAGGGCCTCTGGAAAGACCCGAGACGGCCTTTGAGGACGCCCGGAAAGCCCCAGACGGCCACACGACGGCTCAAGAGAGCCAAGGGACCCCCGACCGCCCCGAAGGATTCCAGGACAGCCCCAAGAGAGCCCAACTGAGGTCCATAGGGGCCTACTCGAGAAGTCAGACGAAAGGTGTCGCAGGTGACGGCTCTCCTCTTCGCCATCCTCCTCCTCCTCCTCCTCCTCCACCTCTTCCTTTCACTCCTCCTCCCCTCCTCCTCCTCCACCTCCTCCTCCTCCACCTCCTCCTCTATCTCCTCATTATGCGACTATTCATAGAACTCATCATCATCATCAGTCTCAACATCACCATCAACATCAACATCATCATCATGATGATCATCATCATCATCATCAGCATCATCATCATCACCATCGTCATCATCACCATCATCATCATCAGCATCATCATCAGCATCATCATCACCATCATCATCATCATCAGCATCACCGTCAGCGTCAGCATCATCATAATCATCATCAGCAGCATCATCATCAGAATCAGCATTATCATCAGCATCAGTATCGTCATCCTCATCCTCATCCTCATCATCATCACCAGCATCATCATTATCATCAGCATCAGCATCAGCATCAGCATCAGCATCAGCATCATCGTCATCATCATCATCATCATCATCATCATCATCATGGTCAACATAATCATTAGCATCAGCATCAGCATGATCATCAGCATCACCATCACCATCACCATCAACACCACCCTGGTCATCGACCTCCTCATCATCATCATTACCATCACCACTACCATACTAAGATAATCAACATCCTCCTCCTCCGCCTCTCAAAATCCAATTCATCCTATTTTCGTCGTCATCATCACCCACGTCCTTATCGATTGATCAGGTGCCACCGAGAATGCTGAGCTGGCACGTTGGCCGGACTTGTCGCAGGCAGCTGGATACATACATCTATGCATACAAATCTATGTATACACAGATATGTACGTGCACGCGTGATGAAGACTGTTATTTCGGGTGGCGCCGCTGCGCCTGCGCATCCACATTCCTCTTGTTCCGGACGAAGAGGTTGGTTACCCTTGGGGTAGCGAGGCAACAATGAGCGACAACGAGAAGTAGTGGACCAATGAAATGTCGCGGCGAACCCAACCGCACAGGATAACACCATCCCCCCTACTCCCTCCTCCCCCCCTCCTCCCTCCCACTGCTCCCTCCCTCGCTCCCTCCATGCTCCATCCCACACACATCCCCTCTCCCTCCTCCCACCTAAACCTCCACTACTCTCGTCCCTCATCCGTGGCCCCTGCTCTGAAGTGGAACAAGAAGGGGGGACCAGCCCAGGAGGAAAGAAACATCGAGCTGGAATCGGCGATACGTCGCCGATAGATCGGTGAATCGGCCTCCATATCAGTTCGGCACGTTTCCGGGCGGGGCAGGCTATCGGACCCTTCTGGGGTAGTTCTCTTATACATTCGGAATAACGCGTGTGACGTGAGGGGGTGTTGGCGGGGGGCAGGGTCACGGTGGCGGCGGCCGCGGCGTGCACCCCTCAAGGCACGACCGCAACACTGGAGCAAAATTCGCCTGTGTGCACCACAATCTCTGTGCAAACGACAGCGCCTGCGTGAACCATAGCAGTCACGTGCACTACACCACCACGTGGCCTGTGTACGCCATAGTGCCTCTGTGCATCGCAGCAGCCGCGTGCGCAACAGCGCCTGTGCACACGATAATGCCTGCGTGCAGCAGATCGCTTTCGTACACAACGGCGCCTGTGCACATCACAGCAACCGCGTGCACCACAGAGGGCTTGCGTGCACAACAGCACCTGTGCAAAACGCAACACATGTGCACACCACACCAATGACGCTTGTGCGCAGTTCCCGCGTGCACCACCAGAAGCTGCAGCAGCGGCAACAGTCTGCCCCACAACACCTCAATACCTGCGCACAATCGGCCGCCTTCGGACCACGTCGGTCATCGTCGTCGTCCCTCTCCGCCTCCTAATCCTCACCTCCTCCTCTCCCTCCTCCGCCCCTATCCCTTTTCCTCCACCTCCTCCTCCTCCTCCTCTGGTTCCTCCTGCTCCTCTTGTTCCTCCTCCTCCTCCTTCTCCCCCTTCTCCATTCCATTTCCTTACAGACAAATCCTCCCTGTCGCACCCCGAGGCTGCTCGAAAGGGCGGGCCGGGCGCTTCGCCTGCGGCTTCCTCACCGCTTGCGACCCTGATACTCGAAAAATGGCAACAGTTTCACAAATGGAGGGTAGGTCGTTTCCAACATGACGTTCTCGCGTAAGCGCCGCGCAAATTCATTTCGAATAACTGCAAGAGATTCGCGGATTGAGGGCGGGTCGTTCTCAAAATGTGGCTCTCGCCGTAGCGCCGCGCAAATTCGCTCGAAAGAATGTTGGAGCTTCAAGGATTGAGGGCGGGTCGTTTCGAAATGTGGTTGTCGCCTGAGCGCGGCGAACATTCGTTTTTCCCTTGCGAGAAATTCGCGGTTTGAAAGCGGGTATGCTTTTTCAAAATGTGGCTCCCGCAGTAGCGCGGCGCACATTTGTTTAACAAATGCAAGAGCTTCAGTGATAGAGGGCGATTCGTTTTCAACATGTGGATGTCGCTTAATTGTGCGCACATTCGTTTCAAACATTTGCCAGGGCTTCACGGATTGAGGGCGGGTGGTTTTCGACATGTGGCTCTCCCATTTCAGCGCAGCGTATATTCGTTCGAACAAAATGTTAGTGCTGCATAGATTGAGGGCGGGTCGTTTTCACAATGTGGCTCTCGCCTCAGCGCCGCGCACATATGCTCCAACACATTTACAATAGTTTCACTGGTTCTCACGGATCACGTACCACAAATTGCGTTTTGGAGCGATTCAGGAGCGTCAGGGCGCAACAGTTACGCTGATTCGCGGTGTTGATGTCCCAAGAATGGCTTTCTCGTGTGATTCAGCATCGCCAACACGTAACAGTCAGGTTAACTCGCGCCGTTGAAGTCCTGAAAATATGTTCTGGCACGCATCAAGATGTTCACGCGTTTACCCCCAAACGGGGCAATTCCCCGTGAAAATGGCACCTTGTAGGGGCCTATGAAGAGGGACCTTGGGGGGAGGGTGTCTTTTAACATCGTTGACAAGTTTTAGGTTTACACTGGTCCTCCTCCTCCTCCTCCTCCTCCTCCTCCTCCTCCTCCTCCTCCTCATCCCTCCTCCTCGCACTTCGTTTGACAGCTCTACATTTTGAATATGACTCGGATCCGCGAGAACTGCATGGAGGTCCCTACAAGGTCCTGTGGAAGCTACAAATATTCAGGCCTGCGGCCAGCTTCCAGGCGTTACCGCTGCGAGGTGGGGGGCCGGGGGGAGGGTAGCGCTCCGTATCTCCGGGAGCAACAGAATTATGTAGTCCCCATCGTACTTAAAGACTGCATCGCAGAAATAATTTCGAGCACCTGGAAGAGTGTCGAAAGATGTCGAAACAGTGTCGGGCGAGTGTCTCCCAGGGCCTGACACGTGAAACCCCTCGAGTTTCGGTACTTTTCTTAATCTTGGGCCTCAGTCCTCACTCCCTCGTTCCCCGCGGTTTGTCGCTTGACTGTTTTCGGCCCTAGATGGCCCAAAGACGGGCCAAGAGAGCCCCAAGAGAGTCGCCGAACGAGTCGCTGCACGATCGCTCCGAGTCGCCGAACGATCGCCGAGTCGCCGAGCGATCGCCCCGCGACGCTCAAGATGGCCCCCAGACGACCCAAGAGGCTTCCAAGACGCCCTGCCCAAGAAGGCCCCAAGAGGTCAACATCGTTGATTTTCCGTTGGTTGTTGAAGGATCTTGCCGTTCTCGCCTTTTCGGCTTCCTGACGCTCCAAGACGGCCCACGAGGCCCCGAAGATCGCCCCGATACGGCCCCAGAGGCTCCCAAGAGGGGACCAAGAAGGCCCAAGAGAGCCCATGCGGCGCCCGCCCAGGACGGCCCAAGAGGGCCAAACGGCTGCCTCAAGATGGGGCCCAGATGGGGGAACCCGAGCGGACATTTCGATTCTCGGCCCCGAGGAGGCCCCTAGGAGGCCCCCAAGAGGCCCCCAAGAAGCTCCAAAGAGGCCCCGAGAGGCCCCCAGGAGGCCCCCGAGAGGCCCCCCGAGAGCCTCCTGAGAGACCCGACCTCCTCCTCCTCCTCCTCTTCCTCCTCCTCCTCCTCCTCCTCCTCCTCCTCCTCCTCCTCCTCCTCCTACCCGCAACCCAGGCACGGTGGTGGGATGGGCCGAAGGCCATCAGATAATGAGGAACGCTGGGGAGATCGAGCTGGAATCGGGGCGTCGTTGCCGACAGATCGGCGATTGGATGGGCGATTGGAGGTCGATGCGTTCCCCCCCCTGAGCCTATCCCCCCCTAGCGTTGCCGATTCGTTTGCGGTCCACAGCTCGTCTCGGGACGATTCAGACACCCCTGGAACGCCCTCGGCGAGGCGCAGCTGATGGAAAGCATCTCCGGGCTGGAAAACCGCCGACAACCCACGAACACGCGCGAAAACCTCTGGGCTTGAACTGAAAACCTCGAGACGCTGGCTGCCCCTAACTCGACTACACGCAAAGAGTCACCCTGCTTAAGGGTTACCTTTGGTGCGCAGCTTCTTGGGGGCCGCGGGGGAACCAAATACAAGCGCGCAGGACGCTGCTACCGCATCGCGTCCGGCGATCGGGGGGCCACAAATGGGCCCGCCGCACCAGAGGCCACTCCGCCGGAAGGGCACTCTTACGCTTAGATGGGCATGTCCCCTACAGGCGGATTCTGGACGGAAAATGAACAATATGTAAACATACCACAAACACGTATTAGAAATTTCGTCCCCAGACTAATCCTTTTCAAACCTATGTTTGAATGCTCCTCCTGTGGAGGGACAGGCCCGACTCAAGCCTGCGCGCGGTCGACTGAGGGCACCCCGCGGCGCACGGGCCTCGGGACCAGGGCCACGATCTTCACTATCCTGCGGCGGCGGGGCGCAAGCGCGGCGTGCCGCCGCCGCGAGGGCGGGCGCGGGCGCCCCCCGAGGGGCAACGAGGCCGCCCACGGCGCGGGCGCGGCCGTCCTTAGAGACAAGCGCGCTCCTCGTCTCGCAAATCGGCGGCGGCGGCGAGCGAGGGGGGGCGAGCGAGCGGCGAGCGAGGGGGGAAGTTTCGGGTTCGAGGTTGTCCGGCGTTTTCGGGCGCTTTCGTCGGTGCTCGGCGGCTGCTTTCCACACTAAGGATGCGCTCCAGCGGCTGCGCCTCGCCGAGAGCGTTCTGGGGGTGCTCGGATCGTCCCGAACGGCCGCGAGAGGCCCGAGTGATGACCCCAAAATCAGATTCGGCGGCGAGCGGGGGGAAGTGAGAAGGCCGCCGCCTTCTCAGAAGGCGGCGGGGCTTCTTCGAAACCCTCGCGCCTTCTCAGACGTTTTCTACGTCTTCGGGGCAGGCTGAGAGCACTTTGCAGCAGGCCGGGGGGCCTCGAACGAGAGGGGGGGGAGGAGGGATGAGAATAAGCGAGAGGGGCGGAGGAGAAAGACCTGTCGGGTAGTTCCCCCAACTTTGGCAGAATAGTCTTCTGGGATGACAGCACCGTCCAGGAAGATGGTCAATGGTCCGAGGTCCGCACGTCTCTCTTCTGTTAGCGCTGGGCCCGCCTGGCGGCGCGAGGTCGAGCGCCGATCCAAGAACTCCGCTTGACGGTAACGGTGCCCGCAAGAGTGTCCACGCGAGGGGACCAAGCGGGGCGGGGCCGGAGCGCCCGAAATAAACAAAACATCTGAAGCGGCAAGCAAGGGTATCGCGGCAAGGGTATCGCAGCAAATAATCCGAAGCGGCACGAGCTCCGCTTGCAGCTCCGAGAAAATAAATGTTTACGCCGTCCTTTCTCCTTCGATCCAGACGAAAGCCGTAGGATGTTGCGCGCCACGGGAAGGCCTCGAGGCATGCAAGCACCGAGCCACCACGCCGTCCAAAGCGCGCTCCGGTGCATGTGGGGGATGTTCTTTTGTCCTAGGTTCCCAGACTCCGGTGCGGCCAGCCGGGACTCCCAAACATTCGATGTCTTGATTAGCTCAACACGTGGTCACCCGGAGTCCCGACCCCTTTCCCATGGCCCGTCTTTCATCCCGAGCCGCTCCCAGACCCCCAACGTCCTGTTTTTCATAACCTCGTCCCCCAGAGGTCTGGACCCCTTCCCTGGGATCGTTTTTCATCCTGAGTCATTTTTCTTGACGGTCCCGAGGCCCAATAAGGGCCCCCGTAAGCGGAAAATAACAGACAAAACCTCCCGTCATGCTTGTTTCACGACGCGAGGGGGTCTGGGTTTATTGATGGTCCCCGGGCCCGTCGAGGGTTCCCAGAGGCGGAAGGCTGCCTGCTGAAGCCTCCCGTCGTGCTTTGTTTTCACGGCGACAGCATGTCTGGGCTGGCGAGTGGGCTCGGCCCACCGGCGCTCCCCGCCATCCCACGGCCAAGGAGCGCTCCGGCGCGCTCATCCTGAAACGTTTTCAGCCGTGAGTGCCCTCCTCCCCCCTCCTGTCCTCTGCGGCGGCCCTGCCTTCCCGCGCAAACTCTCTTGCAGCCGAGCAATGAGCTCGCCGCGTGTCCCCGTGCGGATTGCCTGGAAGACCCAATCTGAAACTTCGCAACCCCGAGTTCCGGCGTACAGTCGAACCCTCCGCCTGCCAAAACACATAGAACATCCAAGGGTACCCTCCCCAGGGTGTACAAGACCATCCATCAAGCGTGAAAAACATTAGGGTACCCTCCCCGAACCGGCCTCGATCTTATACCTCAGTCCGACTGTACTCGAGTCTTGCGATTCCCCGTCGCATGTCTGGGAGTGGTTCCCTGGCTGGGTGCGGCCGACCCAGCGAAGCGGTGTCGGTGCACGCAAGGCCCGCCCCGAGCGCCGTGCAGGGATGCGGGGCAAGCGGGCAGCGCGCCCCGCCTCTGGAAAAATCGGGCGCGCGCCAAGATTGGAGGGCAGCCGTCGCAATAAGCAGCCCGACAAGAGCGGAATCGTTTACGGTGACGGCATTGAATAAGGAACCCTCTGGATAAGGACTCCAGGGTCTGGAAGCTGGAACTCCAATCGTGGATCGGCCATGGCTGTCACCGCCGCCCTCATCAGATAAAGAACCGCCCAGTGTCGGGAAAAAGTCGGGCGCGCGCTGAGATCGGAGGGCAAAGAGGCGCCCTCGTCATTGACTGCCGATCAAGCCGCCCCAATCCAATCCAAAGACCCAAATTCGGGGTTAGGGGGGTACGAATTCCACATGTGCTTTTGTGAATGTTCCCCGAGGCCCCCCCCCCACTGGGAATGGAGGGCAAATTGGAGCCTTCGGGTTTTGGATTTAGACGCCAGAAGTTGCTTCGCAAACGCCAAGTATTGGGATCGGGGTACAGTCGGACCGATTGGACAGGACACGCGAGAGGACACAAGACCCTTCCGAGGGCCACATTGCCACAGGAATGTAGGAAGCATAGGTCGCGAGACACAGGACACAAGGGTACCCTTGACTTGGCAGGGTCGACCTGCTAATCTGGGCCGACTGTAGTGTTTTCCTCTTTTGAAACATGAGCTAAGAATCCGTGGATCTGGCGCGTGGGCGCCGCCAGATCCACGGATCGGGGGAAAACATATCCCCCGAGAGACGGAGCCACTGCCTCTGTACATGGCGAAACGGGACCCGTCGCCAATGCACGCGCCCCAATCCATGCCTGCGCTTCAGCGAGAAGGGGGGCGGACCCGCCTCGCTCACAGCCTTGGGCGGGCCCCGTCGGAGCTGGCCCACTCCAGGTCCACCACCAGCGGGAAGTGGTCGCTGCCGACTGCAGACCCGTCGACAGCCGCGCCGAGCAGCCGGAGTCCGGCGCCCGCCGCGCCGCGGCTAATGAAGGCGTAGTCGATGCGGTACATGGGACTAGATGCTCGTTCTGGGGACCTTCCTGGAGCCTCTCGCCCCGCTCATGCGTCGATGCTGCGTCGAGCGTCCGCCAGCTTGAATCGACCTTGAGCCGAACTGGACCCAAGCCACTTAGAGTCGAACAGGTCCGTCGGGTGGGCCCAAGGCTGGCGGCGCGCACCAGGGGGGTGGAGGGAGGGGGGAAGGCCTCTTACAACGAGGCTGCCTCTTAGAAGGCGCCAGCCTTACATCTACTGATACAGCCCGCGCCTTCTGCTAAGAAGCAGGGGTGCTTCTAAGAAGCCCTCCCCTCCCTAAGACGAAGCCAGGAAAAAGATAACATCAGATGAGGATCATTCGACAATCTCTGAGATCCGGCGGCTCTGGAGGATACAGTCGAGGTACTATCAGAGGCAACGCTAAATAAGGAACGAAGCCCCTTCTTGGCCCCAGAAGCGCCTAGGTGCACGAGGAATGATGGAAGAGGAGCCATGGAAGAGCTTAAGGAACAGCGCAGCGAGCCCCTTCCGCACCCGAGGCGTTCCTTATTTCAGCGTCTTGGCTGCAGCTCGGACGCCGCGGCCTTCTCAGAGCGTCCCGGAACGGTCTGAGAACGTTCTGGAACGCTCTGGAACGGATCTACCCTCGACCTAGCCCCGTCTGACTCCCCCCGCCCCCCTCTGCGCGTGGCTGAGAAGGGAGGTCCCCCAAAGGAGCCTCTAGATGGGCTGCCCCACGTGCGCGGTGAACTTGGCGGCCCCTGCCTCCAGAGCCCTTCCGTCGCCCGGGTGGGCCGCCCGGAAGGCGTCGACGTAGCCCTCCCGCAGCAGCATGCGGACGCACTCCGCGTCGGACGGCAGCGCCCAGCCGCTCTGCGCCGCCTCTTGCCATCGCTCGGACGTCCATTCCCTGTGCATCGTTCGGTTTCGCGCGTTCATCTTGCGCACGGTGCTCGAAGATGCTCACCGATGGTCCTCGTCGAGCACAAATGCGCACGTCCGAGAGATGCCAAGGCCTTGTCCAGCACCGCTGCCCACTCCCCCTCGGTGTAGTCCTCCGCGCACAGGGCGTTGAGGTCGCCGAGGAGCAGATGGCCGGGTGCTGCCGGGAGTGGCCCCTGGCCCGTGGCGTCCCCAGCGCCTCGCGCCGCTCTGGGTCCCCGGGGGCCCTCTGCGCCTCGTGCCGGGTGCTCCTGGAGGCCACCGGGGCCTCCCCTGGGGACAACGTGGGCCAGGGACACCTCTGGCACAGCCCGAGATGAGGCGCGCCGCCCAGCCCCCTCATCTCGCGGATGACGTGGTCCATCTGGAGCACGCGCTGCTCCTCGCTGATGTGGTCGAGGTGCGTGCAGAAGACGGTGAGGCCTCGGGGGGGCGACGCGTCCACGGCCTGCTCTTGCCCAGGGCACGACCCCTCCGCGGCGGCCGCCGGAGGCAGCTCCAACGTCGCCGAGAGCATCCCGCGCCCGATGCGGTGCACTTGGCCAGAGCCCCGGGGCCACTCCACCTGCGTCCCGCCCTCCAGGTGCACGTCACGGGTCTCGAGGATGGGCAGCCTGCTGATCAGCGCGTTCCCGTACGTGCCCCGTACGTGCCCAAAGAAGTGGATATCCGAAGCGGAACAACTGGGATAAACATTGATTACTGGAGCGCCGCGCAGATTTCTTGGATTGGCGCTGGACCCCCATCGCTGGTGCGCGGAGCGTGCCAGGGGCGGCGCCAGAGGCGCCGCCAGGCGGCCCAGCGCCAATCCAAGAAAATACGCGCGGATCCGAACGTTTATGTGTATACCATTCTTTCCTCTTCGGGAATATGCTCGGCGCCGATCGCGGCGGCAATCGCCTCGAGCCCCTTCGGGGACTTCTTGAGGTCCACCTCGTTGAGGCAGACCACAGTGGGCTGCAGCCTGCGCAGCGTGCTCCCCACTACGCCGACGAGCGGCTCGCCGCTGCTCGAGAACCCGAACACACCGCACGTGCATCGACATCTGGAGGTCCGCGCGGCCTTCTTGGGCCAGCGCCGGCTCCCACTACATGAGGAGGAACGGGGACCGGCGCAGGGGGAGAGGCATCGAGCTGGAAGGCAACACAACGCCGATACAGCGGCGACTGGCCCCCGACAGCAAATCCACACGCTCCCAGGCGGGGTGGCCCAACGCGCCCCTGTCGGTGATTCATGGGCGACTGGGAGTCGACGCATCCCCCCTGTGAGCCTACGGCAGGTTCGTGCGGCGTCGCCAGGCGCACAGGATTTTGACACCGCGTCGATCGCTCCACCTTGAATCGATCGCGGCCCCGAGCGTTCCAGGCTGAATACCGTCGGGTCCCGTGGCGCTGCCGTGCCCCATCGGTGCTCTCGCGTCGCTCAATCGATCGCATGGGGTTCCACCTTGAGAACGCCTTCGCTGGCGCCGCCAGCGCGCCATCGCCGCGTGAACCTACCCTACAGTCGGGCCGCTGACAGAAGGAACGCTGAATAAGGAACGAAGCCCCCTCTTGGCCCTGTAAGCGCCTCCGTGCCCCAGGAGGGCAAGAGGAACAGCACTGGAGGAACCTGAGGAACACCGAGCCCCCTTCCGCACCCAAACTGCTCCTCGTTTCAGCCTCCTGGCTCTGCGTCCCCCCATGGCGCAGCCCCTGACCTCCAACCCTTCCCGCAGCGCGCTGCGCGGGCCGGCGGCGGCGGAGCCCCCGGGCGCCGCCAGGGGTTTTGAGGATGACCCTCAGGTCGGGCCCGTCCCCCCACAGGCCGATGTACCGAGGAACCAACAAAATAGAGGCAAAAAATATCCCCAAATAGTTAAAAAAAATGCTAGAACAAAAATGGTCCCCAGACTATGTTTTGACAATTTTTGAACATCCCCCCTGTAGAGGGACAAGCCCGACGTAAGGTTACCCGGAACGCTGAACAAGGAACGGAGGGACTGCCCTGGCACCGGCGGGCCTCGACCAAGAACAAGTTCCACGACCCAGAATCTGGGAAACGGCAACAAAACCAGAGCCCCACCTGAGCCCACCGTGGTTCTTCTCTCGATGTTCGAGGGACAAGCAAAAGTCCACATTGTTGCTCCCTGGACCTCCACCAAAATGCGATCGGACCTACTGCTCGAGGCGAATCCAGCCGTGACGACGAGGGCCTCCCAGGAGGTCCCAAACGGGAAATACGAAGGAAGGGCCGCGGTATACGTACCTTTTCCTGCAATGAGCTTTGGCTGTACCCTTCGATCGGAAGAAGTGGGTAGAAACATGAAGTAGGAAGGCGCTGAAAGTATACTGGATCCGCGCCCGCTCCCCGAAGACGGAGGAGAAGGGAAACCCACTCGACCTATGACATAGGAAGGACCCTCAAGTGCATTGGAATCTGAGGATCGAAAATGTAGGTACGTTCAAAGACCGATGAGTATGCCCGCGCAGTCGTTCAGGGTTCTCTGGCTGTCGGCGACAAGCCTGCGGACGTTATACTGCACGAGCCTCAAATTCGAGGCTGTGCCTGGGCCGAGGCCTCGCTGCGCGGCAGCGCCCGCAGTAGTGGAGGAAGAACAGACTGCAAAAGCATTAACCTTCAAAAGTCCGCGCGGATTTCGCTGATCCGCGCTGGACCCCGCCCTCCCTGGCGCGCGGAGCGCGCCAGGGGCGGCGCCTCAGGGGGGTTCGGCGCAGATCCACGAAATCCGCGCGGACCGTCGAATGCTGAGCAACAAAAAAACACAGTCTTAAGCGAAATGGTATAGCAACCTTACGCTGCGGCTTACGCAGGCCGCCAGCGCGAGGCCGCTCACGCGCGACCCTTACGCGGGCAACTTACGCGCGAGTGTCGGTGAAGACGACCCTGTTTGGGGAGAGTCCAACAAGTACCGATACAATTACTCCGCGAACCTCTCCCAAGGCGCGTTCTGACCACGATTTCGAAGCGAATCCTGGATTCACCTCGAATCCTGGATTCGGAGTCCGGCAATGGCGACGAGGGCCTCCCAGGAGGCCCCCCAAAAGCCAAATCTGCCGAGGGGTACCGGTATGGGTACCTTTGCCTCCTCTGAGTTTTTCTGAGTCGCTCAATTTTACATTTGCGCCGTCTTTTCTCGGCGGCGAGCCGGGGGGGGAAGTGAGAAGGAGAAGACCTTCTCAGAAGGCTCGGAAGTCCCCTGGCCTTCTGAGAAGTTTTCTAAGCCCCCCCGAAGACGCAGAAAACCTCTCAGAAGGCGCGAGGGCTTCTGAGAAGCCCCGCCGCCTTCTGAGAGGGCCTTCTCCTTCTCACTCCCTCCCCTCGCTCGCCGCCGAATCTGACTTTTGGGTCATAACTCTGGTCTCCGGCGGCTGTTCGGGGCGAGGCGTAGCCGCTGGAGCGCATCCTGAGGGCGGAAAACCGCCGAGCGCCGACGAAAACGCCCGAAGACGACGGGCAACCCAGAACCCGAGACTTCCCCCCCCTCGCTCGCCGCCGAGTTTGTGCTCGTGCCGTCTTTTCTTCCTAAGCGCAGGGCATTCGGGCGCGGGCGCACTCGGCTCGCCCTCCGCCGCGAGGCCGCCGCAGCCTCGCGCGGCCAGCGGCAGCATGCCGAGCAGCGGAGCGCAGTGGCGTAGGCTGGCGCGCACGGCCATCGCACACATTGACGGCGCAACCTCGCTCGAGCCGAAAGGCTACAATCGAACCCAGGCCACAATAATATTTCTCAAGAGCACGAGGCCCTCCGCCGGCCCAAACACACACACACACACACAGAACGTCCAAGGGCGCCCTCCCCAGGATGCACAAGAACATCTCACGAACACGAAGGACACTAAGGTGCCCTCCCCGAACCGACCTCGATCTTATACCTCGGTCCGGCTGTACGAACCCAGACGTGCTCGCGTCGTGAAATACTTGCACAGGGGAATGGAAGCATCGACCTGGAATCGGCAACACATCGCCGAGAGCGTCGGCCGTCCTGAGGCCACTTCGGCGTGTCCGGGGCCTCTGGGGGCTGTTCGGGCCCTCTTGGGTCGCTTTTGGAGCTCTCTTGGGGCGCTATCGAGGGCCTCTTGCATTATCTGGGGAGCCTCCTGGGCTGTCGCTGGGTTTTTGTCGGGAGCCTCTTCGGCCGTCTTGGAGCGATCTGACGGGCCTCTGACGCCGTCTGGGACCGTGGGGAGGCGGAACATGGGAGAGCGCAAAAATGCTTGAAAAACCGTCGGAAAACTGATGATGTTCTGTTACCGTGGCCCTTTGGAGGGGCCTCTGGAGGCGCTCTTGGTGCATTTCGACGGCGTCGTCGGCCGTCCTGAGATCATCTTCGGCGTGTCTGGGGCCTCTGGGGGCTGTTCGGGCCCTCTTGGGTCGCTCTTGGGGCTCTCTTGGGGCGGTATGCCTCTTGAATTATCTGGGGAGCCTTCTGGGCCGTCTCTGGGTTTTTTCGGGAGCCTCTTCGGCCGTCTTGGAGCGATCTGAAGGGCCTCTGACGCCGTTTGGGACCGTGGGGAGGCGGAACATGGGAGAGCGCGCAAATGCTTGAAAAACCGTCGGGAGACTGATGATGTTCGGCTTCTGGGGCCCTTTGGAGGGGCCTCTGGAGGCCCCTCTTGGGGCGTTTTGGCGGCGTCGTCGGCCGTCCTGCGGCCATCTTCGGCGTGCCCGGGGCCTCTGGGGGCTGTCTTGGCAATCTTTACGGCGCTCTTGGCGTGTCGTGGGCAATTTGGAAGCGGCCCGGGGCAGTCCCGGGGTCTGTGTCCCTCCAAAGGTCCCAGGGAGCGCCCATGGGGGAGGGTGGCACCGGCCCGCCCCCCCCGGCCTTCTTCTTCTTCTTCTTCTTCTTATTATTATTATTATTTATTATTATTACTATTACTATTATTATTATTATTATTAGTAGTAGTAGTAGTAGTAGTAGTAGTATTCGTCTTATTATTCTTATTATTCTTCTTATTATGATGATTCTTCTTATTATTATTATTCCTCTTATTAGTATTATTATTCGTATTATTGTTATTCTTCTTCTTATTAGTATTATTCTTCTTCTTCGTATTATTATTAGTATTATCATTATTATGTTTCTTCTTAGTATTCTTCTTATCATTAGTCTTATTATTATTATTCTTATTATGCTTCTTATTTTTATTATTATGATTCTTATTATTAGTATAGTTCTTAGTATTCTTATTCTTCATATATATATATACATATATATATATGCACGCATGCATTTATATATATATATATATATGTAGTCACACATATATTCATATACACAAATATGTTTTGAGGGTTCTCCTTGTGCACTTACATTGCGCAGTGGTCCCAACAGCTTCTCTCGAACGTTCGTCGTCGCTGGAGCCGCGGTCCTACTGGCATGCGTGAGCAAGGGAGATATGGATCGGTGTTTACGCATTGGTGTCAGAGCGTGGGTCGGTCTGAAAGAGGTCTGCGCGGGAAGCAATCTTTCTCATGGGCCACCCTGCGCCTCTTGGTCCGTCTTGCGGCGCTCCTCCTCGTCCTCCTCTTCCTCCCCCTTCATCCTCCGCTTTATCATATTTAGTCTTCCTCTTGGGGTACGACGGCTGCCCATGGTTAACACAGCCCTTTTTTCCTTTTGCATGAACCCCCATGTTTCTGATCAGGGCAACTCGTCTGGGCATCGTCTCTAGATGAGCTTATCGACCTTCCACTTCCGGTGGCCTTCCGAGGACGTCAGGGTGGCTCCAACATGCCCCAAGACGGCTTCAAGGGAGGCCCAAAAGAGCTCCAACACGGCCCCGCCTGGGGACGGCGACGACGACCATCGCGGCGGCGGCGGCAATGACAACGACGCCGACGACGGCCCAACGACAATGACCCGACCAACCCATGCGCATGCTCTGGCGGAGCCCGGCTGATCCAAGACTTGAATTCGACGGCTTCCCCACCTCTTGATCCACTGCGTGCTCATCCGCTTCCCTGATCAGGGTAACTCGCCTGGGCATCGTTGGTGGACGGGCTGGCGGGGGTACCTTTTTGGCACGCAGGCGCGCGAAACAAGTCGAACGCCGAGCACGCTAGGGCGGGCCGCGCCGTAGCGAAGGAAAAAACAGCTAAGCAAACTACTCCGCCACAGAACGGAGCATAGCGAAGCGCAGCCACAATGGCGCGGGATGCATCTCGCAGGTACCGCGAGAACGCTCACAAGGAAGCCGAAGAGGACGCCGATGTAGAATGAGCGAGAGACCGCCCACATGACCAAGGAAGCTGGGCCCAGTGACCACTGGTGGTATTTTTTGGATCGCGAGCGCAAGCGGAAGGGCCGCGCGCCGCCCAAAGCTACAGCTAACCAGCAGTAGCCTAAATTGCACACGAGAGAGAAGAGAGACAACAGGAGAACAGCGGGAGGTGAGACTAGACGGGGCAGGCCGCGCGGCGCTCACGGAGGGGGCGCCATCGGCAGTTAGCAACCGCCGGAGGTGCACGCCAACGTGGCGGGTAATTGGCTGGCAGTGTGGTGTCACGTGACCGCGGCGAGGGGCAACCCGGCGGGAGATAGCGGGCCGCAAGCGCCTGCGCCTGTACGGGAGGCAGCACGCGGGGGGCTGAGCGCGACTGGTGGGGGTACGTTTTTTTCTTTTTATACAGCCGCGGGCGGAAGCGCCAGCGGCGGCGAGTAACGGTCGGGCTGCGGCCGAAACAAATTGGCCGGACGCGCGCGCGGGCCGCGGCCGGCGCCGTGCGGCGGGTGCAAGGGTGCTGCAAACCAGGGTGTCTGACGCACAGGGACCTGCACCCAGGGAGTCTGTAACTACGCTGCCAAAATGGCGCGATGCAAATAACCCCAAGGTGTCTGAGGCCATGGCCAAGCAGTACGCCGCTTGGGTACACTATCTGAACAGTAGGGAGTCTGCAAACCTCGGCGCAGCGAATGGCGTACCATAGGGTCCAAGGGTGTCTGAACCATGCTCAAGCAGGAGCGTCCGAGAGACGCGCAAGCTGTCGCCTGACTGCATACCGTAGGGAGAGGTTCCTGGTGGGGGTACGCGAAGCGTCAAGAACTGATTCAGGGCAGGGCCTCAAGGGACTTGAACACTCTTCATCATGAGCCATGCTGCTTCGCAATCGGTCCTTCCGCGTGACACCTCCTGTTACAAATAAGACTTTCGTGCCCACACGGACCACTAGCCACCTGTGCTGGGCTGAGGGAACCCATGCGGGTCTGTTTCTTCACCTGCCATCTTGATATGAGGTCCACGCGCCGAGGGTACAGCTGTCTGGCCATTCGCGCGTTGCGTCGAGTACATCCTGCATCTATTCTTGTATGAGCCTGAGTACGTGCCACCGCAACTATCTTTATAATCAAAATAGTGCATGCAAATTCTGCCTGAATTCGGCCCTGTTGGGCCTCTGCACCGGAGGCCTCCGAAGGATCGCCGAATATCCCTGGAGATCTCCGAGGAGACCTCCACCGACGCCCCTGGGGCATCGAGAACCTCTGGAGACAAGAGAAAATGAAAGACGGCGCGCGCAACTCTTTCTCAGCCCTACGACTGGCCAACATCGTCGAAGATCACAAGTCGCTGTTCCGTGCCATCAGGGGGTGACTGTGCGGTCCGTAGGTATGCCGCTCGATGGCCGGTGAAGTGCCCGTGTGGAGATTCGCGCCTTGGCTAGATGAAGCGCCTGTAATATGCAATCAACGTGTAGTCGACCGGGCAAGCGGCGCCGTTGGACTGACAGTCGGTGACGCCTCCGGGCTGGCAAACGGCATTGCCCGTGGACTTGCAGTCGACGTTGCCGTCATGCTGACGATCGAAGTGGCTGGCGGTCTGAAACTCGGCGGTGGCATCCATTTGGCAGACGTCGTCGCCGTCGGAGCGGCAATTCACGGCTGCAACGATTCATTGTCGCTGGGATGATGTCTGGCATTGTTGAAATACTAACATGGTCGGTGTGAAGGTTGGCGAACACACACTCCGTAGACGTCCCAAGTGTCGCAAACGCGGTCCTAGTGAAGATCCTGTTTTCGTTTATGCTGTTTTGGTGGTAGACGTCGCAGGACGTCGACTTCGCAGCAGTCATCGATTCTAGCTTCGCTGCTTTCTTTAGCACTGTTGTGGAAGAGGTCACACGCGCCGTGGTCGATGCCGATGCGGCCGTCTCTGCTGAGTCTTCTGTCGTGGTGCATGCGTAGGTTTGTAGCCCCCAGGGTTGGTGGAAGTCCCTTTCCTCGTTGAGGCAATCTAGGGTGACGCCGTGAGCGAAGGCGCCAGTGAGGGTGCTCAGGACACCTGTCCACCAAGACCCCGTGCGTTTCATGGCGAGGAGGAGGAGGAGGAGGAGGAGGAGG